GAGCTGCCTCGCCGGCTGGTGAGCACAGTCCCAGCTGCCTGCTGGCCTGTACCCAGTGTGCCAGGTCTCAGCAGGGGCAGACAGGCACAGCCAGGTGGGATTAGCCCTTTGTGTCACCCCGCAGAGGCCCTGAGAGCATCCAAACAGGGGACACAGCTGTGCCGTGACCCTCCAGCCTGAACCACATCAAGATCCCAATGGGTACCCCTGAGTACAGGGAGGGCTGGCACATGGACTCCTCCCCGAAAAACAGCCCTGACTCCCACACCACTCTGTCCCAGCTGGCTGGTGTCCGCCAGGCAGGTCACGTCCCTCCCGGACGGCACCCTGAGGAGTCTGCAAAGGGCAACTGGTCATACTGGTGAGCCTGGCTATGGTAGGACTCCCTCCGTTCCGGCACACCCTGGGGCTGTCCTGCCATGTTCGGTGTGCTGCTGCCACCCCCTGGCAACCTGCAGGGCCTCGGGTGTCCCCCACAGCCCCTTCACGCAGGGGTGTCCAGGTCCCCTGCACCAGCCCAGTCCTGCACCCCAAACAAGCGGGATGCAGGATGCCAGGAGGGCACAGTAACTCTGTAGAAGGGTCCACACCGCTCACCTTGCTCCAGAGAGGAGCCCAGAGGGCCACCACATTCTGGCAGGGAGGAGGTTTCCTCCCCGAGCCAGGATGGACAGAGTGGGAAGGAGGCTACGGAACTTTGGGGGCGTTACCCACCCAGGCGATGATTAGAAGTAGCCGAGGTTCCGTCCCAGCGCATTAAGACCGTTCCCGCTGAGTGCCACCGCCGCGGGGTGACCCCGCTGTGAACCGCCCACGCTCCCCCGATGAGCCACAAACCCCTGGCACCAGCACCCCCCTTCACGCCAGTGTCCCCGCTGCGTGTCACCACACTGCCCCGTTCCGCTGCCTGCGCCTCAGGCATGCGTGAGGATGCGCTGGCACCGTGTCACGGAGGGGACATGCCATGGAGAGGTCACACCTGTGTGTGTCTGGGGACCACAGGCATCTTGTGACAGGCCTCCCGGTGCGGATGCTGGGGCACCTCGGGTCTGGGAGCCATCCCTGATCACGACCTGGCTCCCGGGGACAGCATGGGCTATGTCCCCACGAAGCCACCTCGCTGCAGGCATAAGGGGCCACGCACGGGGAGCCATATCCCGTAGATGTCCCCGCTCAAGACCTCGTGGTCCCTAGGGAGATGGTGGCATGTGACGCACACAGTGCACACTGTCCCCACTCCCCATCACATCAGAACACCTGCCGGCTCCTCCAGCCTTCTCTGTGTCACATCTGGGAGGGCACACGCTGCCCAAACGATGCGCAGGGTCTCCCTTGCCCAGCCTCTCCTGGGGCAGGGAAGAATTCAGGCAGGCTGGTGGTGGCGGCATTCGGGGAACGGGGAGGACAGGGCTGAACTCTTGAACCCGCTCCCGACCAGATGCCAAGCATGGAGCACCCTGTGGCGCCCAACGCGTGAGCAGCCCCCGGCCGTGCCAGACCCCCCTGCTCCCCTCACGGTTCATCGGCAGGACACGGGGGACGGTGTCACACGCCCCTCCCCGCCATGGCTGGCGGGCGAGGAGGACGAAGCCGGTGGGGGCTGCAGCCCCGAGACCATCACTGGCTGAGTCCGCGCAGCTCATCACACCAGCTGCGATCGGGGGGCGGGGGTGAAGCCCCTCTGTCCCATGCGGCGAGGGTGGGACGTGAGATGCAAGAGCCCCGCGGGACACCCCGGACCGCTCCCGGTACACCTCGGATCCCTCCCAAAACATCCCTGACCCCGCCCGGGACACCCTGGACCGCTCTCGGGACACCCCGAACCCCTCCCGGGACACCCCGAACCCCTCCCGGAACACCCCGGACCCCTCCCAGAGCATCTTGGACCCCTGCCGTGACACCCTGGACCCCTCCCTTGACAGCCCGGACCCCTCCCGGGAGACCCTGAACCCTTCCTGGCACACCTCGGACCCCTCCCAGAACATCCGTGACCCCGCCTGGGACACTCCGGACCCCTCCCAGGACTCCCCGTGCCCGCCGCGCGGGGGCGCTGCCGTGCCCGCTCCGTGCCGGTGGGGCGGGGCCGCGGAGCGCGGCTCCATCCGCGGCCTCTCAGCGCCCCCTGCCGGCCGCTCGCAGGGGGGCGGGGGCACGAGGACGGCGCGCGCTCCCGCCGGCCCCGGCGGTCCTGGCGGGGAAGAGGCCCCGCCCACCGTGAAGCCGCTTCCGCCCCGCCGCGGCGGCGCGATTGCGTCATCAGTGTGCGCCGGGCGGGAGCGGTGCCGGGAGCAGGAGTGAAGCTGCTGCCATGGCCGGGATCCTCTTCGAGGACATCTTCGACGTGAAGGACATCGACCCAGAGGGCAAGAAGTTCGACCGCGGTGAGTTGGGCCCCGGCCCGCTTCTCCCGGTCCCCTGTCCGCCCCTCCCGCCGGCGCTGGCCCCTCCGCGTGTTGCCAGCCCCCGGAGCGCCCCGCTTCCTCAGGGCTTCCCCAGCCCAGCTGCTGTGCCCCCTACACCCCCGCGGGCCCTGTGCATTGCATTCGCCGCCCCACCGTGTTCCTCTCCCTGCCTGGGTACACCTCCATCAGCTGCCGGACTCTGGCATCCATCCCAAACCCATCCGAAAACGGCTCCGGTGCCAGCCTGGGGTCGGAGCACGACCCTGTTCCCACCTAGCCCTCGGGGATTTTCTCTGTCCTGGTCCCTGACTCTGATGCTCTCCCCAGTGTCGCGCCTGCACTGCGAGAGCGAGTCCTTCAAGATGGATCTCATCCTGGACGTGAACATCCAGATCTATCCCGTGGACCTTGGTAAGTCATAGGGCTGCTAGCACAGAGTAGGTCAGTCAGTGCCAGCTTGGATGGGTGAGGTTAGAGAGGATGGGGCCAGGAATTGCTGTGATCAAGGAATAAACTGCCTCAGGCTTCCTTGTGCCCCTGTCTTGTCCCCAGGTGACAAGGAGGTTCAGGGCACTCTCAGTATGCTAAGGCTGAGTTGGGTTTCTGGTTCACCTCCCTGTCCGTATTTGGGCTCACCTCTGTCTCTTTCCTCACAAACACTGTCTGGGAAAGCTGCTTCAGCTGGTAGTAACCAGCCTTGGAGGGAGATTTCCTGAAATTAACTCCTGCAGCTAAATACACTAAACGTATGGAAAAGAGAATATTACCCTTGATGAAATACAGAAGGGCTGAAGCTGAATCTGCAGAACACTCATGTACCTGCCCAGAGTCCAGCCAAGCTCTTTTGGGGATATAAGTGAATATCTTGTTGTGTCCCCTGAAAACACCAGCAGTGGCGTCCTTGTGGCTCTGGTTTCCTCCACGGTGCGGGGAACAAGGAGACACAGGATCCAGTGTGACCTTTCAGACGTTCCCTACAATCCTTTTGGAGGACTGGCAGGAGAGACAGGGCTTGTTTAGCACCCCCTGCGAGGAGTGGTGAAAGTCAGGGCCTTTGCCACCAGCCTGAGTTCTGGCTGTGTCTGCTGCTGCTCTAGTTGTGCTCTAACCTTCTCACTGCTCCTCTGGCCTCTTTTTTCAGGGGACAAATTCCGCCTGGTAATTGCTAGCACCTTGTATGAGGACGGCACCCTGGATGATGGCGAGTACAACCCCACGGATGACCGGCCATCCAGGTACAGGGTCCAGCTGGGACCCACGTGGGTGGCGACAGGGGAAAAGGGGAAGTGCTGAGGTTGAATGTTTCAGGTTGGACACTAAGAGGAATTTCTTCATGGAGGGGGTGATTAAATATTGGAGTGGGCTGCCCAGGAGGATGGTGGAATCACTATCCCTAGAATTGTTTAAAAAAGACTGGATGTGGCACTCGTGCCGTGGTCTAGTTGATAAGGTGGTGTTCAGCCACAGGTTGGACTTGATGATCTGAGGGAGGTCTTTTCCAATCTAATTGACTCTGTAAATATGAGGTACCTTCTCCCAGAGGACACTGAGATGGAGGAATGGCCAGGTTTGATTCCTAGCTGACCTCAGGCTGTGCTGTTGCAGGGCAGACCAGTTTGAATACGTGATGTATGGCAAGGTGTACCGGATCGAGGGGGACGAGACCTCCACAGAGGCGGCCACACGCCTGTGAGTGCCTGTCGACAGTAGGGGGACACAGTGCCTTGGGGTGCGGTTGGGAGTGCTGGGATCTCTGCTTGGGTTTCCCATGGGGTTCCCTGCTCTCACTACTCCTCTCTTCCCACCTCAGCTCTGCCTATGTGTCCTACGGGGGGCTGCTCATGCGGCTTCAGGGAGATGCAAACAACCTGCACGGGTTTGAAGTGGACTCTCGCGTTTACCTGCTGATGAAGAAGTTGGCCTTCTAGCACGCCTCCATGGGCTGCCCCACAGACATCCAGCTGGAGCCCTGAGAGCCCACATTCTGCTCCAGCACCCATGCTGCCCAGCCTCTTCAGAGCTGGGGAGGCGGGAGCAGTCCCCCTCCTCATCTCAGTGTCTTTGGACTCCTGCTGAGATCCACATCTCTGTTGGTGAGGAGAGAGGTACCTGACATCTGAGTGAATACCATGCTGGGTGCTCTAGTCATTCTTGATAGCATCTCCTCACCTTCGCCTGTGCTCTACAGCCCTGGTTCTGGCCAGGAGCAACCAGACTGGGACAGCTGCCTGCCTCTGGGGACTGGGGACCATTCCTTCAGGAGCCATCCTGAGGCAGGCTGCCTTAGTTTCAATTAAACTGGGATGTTTTCTAAACCTGGCTCTGCTTGCTGAGAGAGGAGGCTGGCAGGGAGTGGATACACCTGTGCAGGGGCTAAGGGGGAACCCTGCCACTTCCCAAAGGATGAGGAGTCCAAACCTGTGTCAGGTGGGTGCAGAGAGGAGGAGTGGCAGCTCAGGCCCTGTGCAGGGCTGTGCTAGGAGATCCTGCAGCACTGGCGGCTGCCACAGGTGGGAGCGGGCACTGGGAAGAACTGGGAGTATGTCCCAGACGACCTGGCTTCTGCCCTGGGCCTGGGCACAAGGACACACACAACTCTTTAGAAAAATAGCTCTTTAATCGAAAAGCATTCACAGTAGAGATTCCTGCCTGGATGGGAGCAGGGCCTGTGCCTGCTGGCACATGAGTGTCACTGTTTGTCTCCATGCGCTGCACGGTTGATGAAGACTTGAGGAACAGGTGCCAACCCTTTCCCTGTGGGCATCTTCCTGGGCACCCAGAACACAGCTTAGTGTCCTGCAGGATTGCTCCAGCTTCGCTTTGAGCCCTGTGTGCAGCCTCACTGGGCCCCGCATGGAGGGTCTCTGCTGTCTCCCTGTCCTTGCTTGCACAAGACCTTGGCCAGGTCGTAGAAGAAGAAGCTCAACTTGCCCTGTACCAGCTGCCGGTAGGTGAGGAAAATGCTGGTGATGTGGGTCTGCTCCATGGAGTGTGGGGAGCAGCTCGGCTCCCAGTGTCCTTCCTGAGGGGTGAGAGTGCAACAGAGGGGTGACAAACACGGTTGCACCCAGCCCAGCTGGCACCTGTGCCAGGGTGGTCTGGCTCATGTGAGGAGGTCTCACCTCCCAGCTGAAGGTCTGCAGGAGCAGGAAGAAGGAGTTGGCTTGTCGGTAAAGCTGGTTCAGATGCCTGGCCCCGCACTCGTTGCTCACCTGGCCCTGGGCCGCTGTTGCAGCACCCACCAGCAGGGCCAGGTCACACAGGATCTCCCGCCGCTTGGTCTCGTTCTGGGGGAGCAGACAGTGACCCCCAGGGTCTCGTTGCTTCCTGTGCTCACCTTAGGTCTGGATGGGGTTCTCTACCCTCCCTTTGCCACCAGATATGCCTACAAGTATCTTGTTCAGCATTTCTGGTGCTTGTGCCAACCCAAGGTTCCTTCTCCAGTCGTGTTAGCACACCAGTGCCAGCACCCTCCTCCCAGCCCCTCTCACCGATTTGGATTTCCACTGCTGGAAAGTGAAGTCCACCAAGGGCAGCACTGCAGGGCAGCTGAGTGGAGGCAGGGCCTGGCACTGACCCTAGTGAGGAGAGATGTCAAAGTGAGGTGCCAGGGACTGTGCATGTCCCCAGTCTTGGGTTTTGTGGGGGACTGTATCCTCACCACTCTCTTTTCCATGTCCTTGGCCTCCACAATGTATTTCTGGATAAGTCTGTTGTCACAGACCAGCCGTGTTGGGCTGGCACGGTCCTCTTTCACATGCAGGAGGAAGGATGTGAGGAGGAGCAGTCCTGGAGGAGATGGGGTTGCCTTGTGCATTGTGCCAGCCTTCCTGGGCAGTGCCAGCCCAGAGCCAAGCCTGCAGTGGCAAGTCCTCTCCCCAGCCCTTTGGTGGCCTTGATGGCCCCGTGGTGGGGATGCAGGAGGAGATGTGAGTGGCTGAGGAAGGCCTGGTGCTGCTCTCCAGTCAGCCAGCGAGAGGTGCCCTGTGCTCTCGGGGAAGAGCTGGGGTTTCCGTGCCAGTGGTGTGTGCCAAGGGGCCGCACAGCCACGTCTGCCAGGTTTTTCAGCGGTTCTCCAAGCAAGGAAGCAGGGCTGTACTCCCTGTGCAGACTAGGGCCAGCCCTCCGGATCCCTGCCAAGAGCAGTTCCAGGCGTCATGTGCACTTCGGGGAATCCCAGCCTGCAGTGTCCCACAGGGAACATCTGCTCCTGGCTGCTGCGCTGGCTGAGCGCTCCCCTGCCAGCACTGCCCTCCCCAGTGCCGCTGCACACCGCTGTGCCCAGCAACTGCCCATCCTGCCAGCTTCTCCAGTGCCCTCTTTGCATCCTCCTGTCTGCCTCATTACCTGCCCTGGCACTGCACCTGTCCCCAAAACTCCTCAGTGCAGCCTGTTTCCCTAGGATGGGCACAGAGAGATGCTTGGTTGCCCTCACATGCTGGCAGTGGTCAGGTCCAAACAGCCCAGAGCCACCCTTGGGGTTTGATGCCCATCTGTGGGATTCATCATGCAGGGGACAGTGGCTGTGGGGCCACAGTATCCATTGTCCCTTCCTGCATACCCAGTCCCCCCTTTTAGCCACACACTCACTGTTCAGCTCCATGCTCGGCTGGGGGCTTCGGCCCTGCATCTTCCACCCTGGGGCCAGCGGCTGCTCCCTGGCTCCCGTCCCCCTTCCATGGAGGGCAGTGGTGGCGCGGGTTCCCCGCGAGCCGCCCAGCCAGGACGGAGGGCCGGGAGCGGCCCCAGGACAGCACGGCGCGGCTCCGCGGCTCCGGCCTGGCCGCCCTGCCGAGGCAGCACGATTTCCTGTTGTGTCGCCGCTGACCTTCCAGCAAAATCGCAGCAGGGGCCCCGGGCCCGGGGGAAGGCTTCCTGCCTCTGGCCGCTTCCTCCCTTGGCTCGGGGCACGGGAAGGCCGTCCCCGGGCGCCCTCCTTGGCTGCTCACCTGCCCCCAGGCCTGAGCGCTCAGCAGCCGGCACCTCAGTGGTCAGTGCCTTAGCTGTGCCTGTCCAGGGGTAGAGGGTGGCCCTGGTACCTGCAGAAGGGATGGTGTCAGTGACCCTGCACTGGATAGCCCTGGGAATATCAGCCCTAATAGGGTCCTGCTCCTGGTTGTGGCAGCCAGGAATGAAAGCCACCAAAAACCCTCTCCCAGAGGTGGACCATAATCCTGGTGATGTTCTCACAGAGGTGGACATCATCTGTGGTGCCCTTTACCCAGTTAGACCCCATCCCTCTTGACCGTCACACAGAGGCATGCTCTGAGCCCTGCATCCACCAGAGATGACTCAGGGAGCTGGAGATCGTGGGGATGGCTGTGGTTCGTGGGATCCTTCTGAGCTGGGGAGAGCGATGGATCACAGGGGTCATGGCTAGTGCATGGCCCCAGGGCTGTTTCACCAGGGGTGTTGGTTGGGAGTGGGCTGGGTGAGGCACTCACAGATGTCCCCTCCCTGGGTAGCAGAAGCACCAAGGGCCTGTCCAGCACCATGCCTTGGCATGGCTGTGACATCGCCTGGCAAAGTCAGCTCTCACTGGACACTCTGGCAGGGGCTGCACGTCCTCATGCCCACGTGTACAGGTGTACTGCACACGGGTACACAGGTACACATCCACCATGTGCACCCTGAAACCTACCTGTACACACGTGCACTTCCCTGGCACACGTCGGGGCATGTGCTCGGATAACCCTTCATCCCAGCAGCCCCCCACGGCTTCCCTTTGGGGGACACCCCGTCCCAGCACACATCCTCTCGCTCCCAGTCTCCCTGCAGCGTGAGTTTCCTTTTCACACCCCGGTTCTCGCACACTCTCGCACGTTCCCACCCCTGTCCCTGTGGACGGTAGTTCCCGGCAGTGCCTGGCCGGGTGACAGCAGTTAAAGTAAACACCCCAGCCGCGCTCCACCTGCCCCATGCCCTGCTCAGCCCACAACAGCCCACCTTGCACGGTGCCTGGAGGAGAAGTCCAGCGGGTGCCATCACCACGACTCCAGGGACGAGACTGGCAGCCCCAGCTCGCCTGAGCACAGCTGGCAGCAACAGGACCCGTGAGCACCGGGGTCAAACACCTCCAGGCTTCCCCACACGGCCGTGGCCCTTCTGCGGACGTGACAAGCTGCAACCATGCCCGCAATCACACCCGTCAGCACTCTGTGCCAGCGCTGGCCTCGGGCCCACCGCCGTCCCCATGTCAGTCCCTGCCATGCCCCCACCATGTCCATTCCCAGTCCCTCCCTGGATGCATTGGCAATGCCAGGCTGGGGAGCTGCGGTGCCCCGCATTCCTTCTTGATTAGGCAAACAAACCCATCGGGGAAACTGGAGAGCAACTGCAAACTGGAGGTCTAATGGACCCCCATGGGCAGCCTAAGGTGCCCACAATAGTCCCTTTACTCCAAAATATTCCTTTTCAATAATGCCAGAAGCTGGCAGGGAGCATGAGCCTGTGCCCGTGGGCAGCCTGGTATTCCTCTGCTGGAAAGGCAATGCCAGCATTTGCTGCCCGTGTCAGGGGGGCAGAGGAGGATGTGGGGGGGAGTCCCTGCTTCTGGCCCCAGCCGGATCCCACTATTTCGTGCTGTAGAGGGAGAGAGTGTGGGGGCAGTAAGTGAGGCACAGGGACCCCAGAGGGACACAGGGTCTCCGGCCAGGCAGCCTGGGCTCTGGCAGGGGACAGGAAGCCAGGCGGGGGCCGCGGGGCTGCACAGCTGGCCGGATCCCGGTGCCAAGATTCCCACCTCTCCTTACAGGGTGCAAAGTGCTGGGAATCCCGCTGCAGGGACAGCCGTTCGCACCCACTTTGGCAAGGTGCTGAAGACAGCAGGAGGTGCCAGGAGTCAGGGAAGAGGGGGGGGAAGAGGAGGAAGATGCCGGGGTTGGGGGGAGACTGTGGTTCGGTGGCACAGCTGCTGTCCCCGCAGGCCACCCAGATGTGCTCGGTGAGTACCCCCAGGATGTCAGTGCTAGCATGGGAAGCAAACCTGGCCTTCCAAGGCAGGGAGGGGGGACCCAGCCCCCTTTGAAGCCCCCATAAAAGGGTCTGGCATAAAGGAAAGAGAAAGTCAAAGGAACAAAGAGAGCGGCTAATCCCGGCGTGAGCAAACAGCCCCGTTTGCTCAGGGCACAGCTGGCTCCGGGGCCAGGGAAAGGAGCACAGCGGGGCTCTACGGGTGCCAGGCAGCGGGGGACCCTCTACCCGGGCTGCCCCTCCCCGAGCACGGGCAGTTCCCGGGAGCAGGGTCCCTCCTGGACCCTCTGGGCTTTTTTGCTACATATGCAAATTGCCAATAAACATCCGTGGGCAAATCCTACTCCCCGCGCAATCTGGTCCTTGCAGTGCTCCCAGACAGCTGTCCGAGGAGAACACCCACACTGCAGGGTAAAAGGGCTTGCAAGGGGCACCTTGGTAATGGTGTAGCAGCTTGGGGGTGAAGGATGGCAGGGTTTTACCTTTCCCAATTTTCAGCAAGCCAGATGCTGCCCAGCACCCCAGCACAAAGCCCTCGGTGCTGCCCAGAGGATGTCCACGGGCAAACCCTCCTTGCCTTGGGCAAGGGCACCTAATGCCAGTGGCTCTGCTGGCATCTGGGGCAATTCCATTGTGCCTCTTTTACCATCCCGCTTCTCAGCCAAGCTCCCCACTCCAGTGGGGCGCACGGAGTGTGGCTGGGAGGGCACCTCGCCCTTCCGCCTCCATCCCGTGGAGAGGAGAAGGGGTTAATGCCAGGCTGCCGAGCCGCAGGTGGGCGCAAGAATGAAATTCCTTCTCGCTGTCCTGCGAAGTCTGGGCACAAATATTTGCCTGCATGTCCGGTGGGGAGGGGGGAGACCACCATCGCTTCTGGGAGCTTGCTAATCCCCATGTCAAACAAGGCCCCCAAATGCCCCCCGCCTTCCTTCTGCTGGGGTCACTCTGCAAAACCCTTGAGGAGGGGACATTTGGGGTCAGGGGGACACCAGCACCTTTGGGTGCTCCTATGAGTGGGGAACTCTATGGGGTTGACCGGGCACTGGGAATAGGTATCTTGTTCAGGGACACTGCCAGGATCTGCTTGGCATGGCAGATGAGACTGGTTTGGGGTTTCCATTCCTCTCCCTGAGCCGTGGCCACCACAGCAGGATTAGATGAAGGCGAGAGCCCCAGCCGTCCCCACCATGTCAGCAGTGCACCCTCCATAATAAATTCCATGTGTTCACAGACAGAAAATAGCCAACTTTCCCCGCTCCATTGCCCCCCCCAAACTGCATCTCCCTTCCGTACCTACCACCCCCAAAACTCCCTCCATCCCCAGACCCCCCGGCCTTCATCTAGGATGGCCCAGCCCTGCAAGTCGCCTACCAGTTGTGCAAATATTGCCGGAATGGCTGTAATCCCTGTGTCACACGTGAATTATGAGATATTTCCACCCATTACGACAGCCCCCCCGCCCCGCCGCGTGTGTGTGAGGCCGGGGGGATTAGACACGGCACAAGCCACGCTCGGCACAAAGCTTTGGAGAGGCTGACGACTCTCTGCATCCCACAACGGGGCGGAGCAGTCGAGGGGGGCTCTTTTTGGAGAAAGGGGGTGCCCCACATGCCTCCCCGTCTTCAGACTGTGCTTGGAGGGGGTGTTGGAGTGCCCAGAAGGCAGTGGGAGGCTGTGAGAAGGGGGGCTCAGGGCATGCAGTTTCACCATGACCCCATCCCTGGGGAACAGAGGCTCCTTCCTGTCGCCCTGAGCCGGGCTCGTGTTCAAAGCCGCGAGCAGGCAGCAGCTAATGAGGGCAGACAATGGAGCTGCGTAGGGCAGAGCTCGGGTGAGGGCCTGCTGAGACACCCCATACCAGGCATGGCACAGCCCTGGCACCACGATCCTCTGGAACACTCCATGGAACCCTCACCACTGAGCAGGGCACATTCCCGCAAAGCTCCTGCACAACTACAGGCTGTTCTGTAGGACACCGTTGGGGCACCCCACCGTTACTTTGCTGAGACAGGAGACACCCCATGCTGTGTCAAGCCAGTGCCTGCCCTGGGAAGAGGTGGTGGAGGGGTGAAGGTGCCAGGCTTGAGGCTGCCCATGGCCAGCTGTCTCCATCGCAGTGCAGTTCCAGCTGCCCACAGCTGGCAGCCCCGTTGGGGATGTGCCGGTTCCAGACCCAGCTCTGGAGCCTCAGAGGTGCCTTTGTGCAGGGCGCTGCTCCTTGTGCAGCTGGGAA